GGTTAACTTTATAAAAATGTTACAGATTCATTTAAAGCCAAAAAGGAAATCTGACAGTCTTAAATACACATTTTTAAGTCCAAAAATTTCTTATTTAATAAAAAAAAAGAAAAAGGAAATCTTCTTTAGTGTAGTACGATTGGGTCATTTAAGTACTATTATATCTAAGCAGTCCAGACAGACCCGCCAAACAATCCTATTCTTAAAAGCCTCTAGATGTTACAGATTCATTTAAAGCCAAAAAGGAAATCTGACAGTCTTAAATACACATTTTTAAGTCCAAAAATTTCTTATTTAATAAAAAAAAAGAAAAAGGAAATCTTCTTTAGTGTAGTACGATTGGGTCATTTAAGTACTATTATATCTAAGCAGTCCAGACAGACCCGCCAAACAATCCTATTCTTAAAAGCCTCTAGAGTGTTCAGTGACCTCCTGAGATAACGAAGCTTGGGGCGGCAACACAGCCCTCACCATAGTCAAGAAGTTCTCTCAATAGCTAACTCAGGTTTTGGCACGTGTTTATGCTTTTGCACATGCTGCTCTTCCCTCTTGATTCACAGCCTAGTTCACGCATCCTTCAGGATCAAGCACAAAAATCGCTTTGTGTGTGATGTTTCCCCAACTCCGTTCTTCCTGGTCACCACCCTTGCATGTGTGCAGTGTGCATGTATGCATTTTTCAATTTATATATACTTATATACTTCTTTAATTACAAAAATCAATCTGCCATACCTGTTTAGAAATACATAAAGTAAAAATGAAAGCTAACCTTTCATATACCTAATCCCATCATCCCCTTCTTCATGTATACCCTCAGCATTCTCAATAAATGATCAATTTAATGATTGATAAATAAATAAGGATGATGGTGAAAATAAATTTTCAGTGCTTACTGAGCACTAACTACAACCCAGGCAGTGTGCTAAATACTTTACAAAAATTAATGAATGAACCAAAATGTCAATCCATTATTTCTATGTATAGCTTTGAGTATTTCACTCTAAAGTGTTATAATTAAGTGACTTAGAAAAAATATTAATAATTTGGTAAACAAAAGTAGATTATAAAACAATATATATGTAAAGCATTATCCCGTTTTTTGTAATAAAATTATAAATGCATGCTTAGATATGTGTATGCATATATCCTAACACTAGTCTCTAGGTAGTGAGATTATGAACAATTTTTATTTTCTTCACTTTGCTTCTAAATTTTATATAAGCATCTGTTGCTTTGTATAACAAGAAAGAAGTTATTTTAAAGAATAATACTTCTTTAAATCACTCCCTTTCAATAGTCTTCTTTAGGACAAAACAAACAAATAAACAAAAACTAAGAATTCTGAGCTTGACTAAGTAAAAAAAACATTTCATTTTTAAAAAGATAGCAAATCACTAGTGTTCTTACTGACGAAAAAGCAGTGTTCAAGGAAAAATTTAAAAAATTGTTCTACTTGTAGGAAAAAGTCAATTTACTGCATATAGACTGTGTTTCTTGTCTGAAAAAGGTTGATTTCTCTCATTCAGAATCAGTATGCATATTTACTGGCTATATTTCATCTCACACCTGCAAGCTTAATTTCTCCTTTCTTGGTCATCAGGAGGTTAGGAAATAAATTTTAGTCCAGGCAATAAATCCTACTTGGCAAACTCAGAATAACTTAATTATTGAAAAGCAGCACCAAAGACCAGCCAGCAACTTTCCAAAGGGCTGTTAACACTACTAGTATTTTAAAAAGTTGGGTCCATCTGTTTAAAGAGATATTAAGAGATACATGAATAACAAAAAATAAAATGTTTTGAAATTCTCTGCAAACCAATAATGCTACCGATCCCTCTGAATTTTAGCAATAATTATGAAAAAAAAATTTCCCATCAACAAAAAATATAAAAGAAGGTCATACACCACCTAGAAGAGGCTACAGAGTTTAAAACCAAGACATGTCAGTCAGAATATTTGAATGTAGTTCCCAAGACCCAAGAGGGCCCCCTTTCATGACCTCTTATGACTGAAAAACAAACTTTCAAACAAAAGCCTACTAAATGGTTTAAAAAAAATCTTGGTAGAGTATCTGGGTGCATCCTTTCTCTTGAGGGTCCCTGTTAGACACATACAACAAGCGTAGGGATGGTCTCTGAATACGCCCAGATCTAAACCCAGGATATCAAAGACCGCCCTTCAGACACGTGACAAAGAGTACAAGCCCCAGATCTCCTGTGTGTGCAGTGCCTACAGATGATCTCTAAAGGCCAGCACGCTCCCTCACCGTGAAGTAGAACTGCTCTGTCTCTTGCTGGTTGGCTCTCCTCTTGGCAATGCTGGGCTTGCTCATGAAGGTTTCTGAGACCGTGGACTTGACGGACTCCATAGAGTTGCTGTACTGGAAGCAGTCAGACACGTCAAAATCCTCGACCGTCACAATGTCCTGGATGGTCTGCAGAGTGGCCTCCATTGTCTTTTTGACCTGCCACAAGGGCCAACACAAGCGTGAGGGGAAGGTGA